ACGATTTCGAGAGGGCCTGCGGAATCTTGTAAAATGAATAAATGTTGTTTTGAACCTGCTTCGTTAAAGAAGGCAGTTTTATTCGTGCAATGTTGGTGTGGACAACAAACCTTATCGTTAAAAAATGCTTCCTTCCACGTCCTTAGAGTCGCCAGTTTAATTTACAAGTTTCACGCCACTTTTTTATAGCCTGTTTATATTCAAGATATGTAGAAATTTACTTGCTGACGTGACGCCGGCGCCATTTCTTAACAAGATTCGGCAGGCCCTCGCCAGATTATGTGTGACCTTCCCATGATGCAACGAGGGCCTGCGGAGGAGGCAGGCGCTCGACGAACCTCTAGTCCTGGGCTAGGGTACATTTTGATTTACGTCGGACAAAGCTACAGTTCAGTCGGACACCAATACACTCGGGTCAGACAAAAAATAAACCTCAGTTTCACTTGGGTCGGACAGAATGTCCGATGGTTTCCTCTCTACGTCGGACAATTTCACGAATGGGTTGGACAATGTCCGTGACCGACCAATATTTTAAGGCCTGACTTCCAGAGCAGTTCATGGGATACAAAAGTATACATGCGTTTCTTCTTTGTGAGTTATTAAAATGTTAGCGTGATATGAGAGCGAAGGTATATAACTGTATATAACTGATGATCTACGATATTCGTTCCGGGGGAAAGTTATTTTCGTTACCTGTACAGGCTCAGTTGGTGGCGCTAGAGACAACGTGCGTTGTTTCCAGGTATCTACTCCACTGTAGGAAGATTTTGAAAGTCGTAAATTGACAGGAGGTTGAGCGTGTTTATGATGAGCTAAGAAATCAACCAACTTTAAACACGATGGAGCCGGTAACGATGAACGATTTTGAGATATATACGCACGAAAACGACGCTTGTGACTTCTGAAGAAGTACGAAAACATGGTTAAAATGTAGTAGCATAAAATTGAGTTAAAACAAGAAGATATAGGGTTGCTTCTTGATTGAGCAAAATCGTGTTCATTAGGGGTGCACCGAATTTTCCGGCATCCGGCTTCCGGCCGGATTTGGAGAAAATCCGGCCGGATTTAAATTTCTGTTTTCAGCTTAAAAAATTCACCAAGAATGGGATAAACCATCAATTCGGCAGCTTTAAAGTTTAAAAAACCCTCATATTATTATAAAATATTAAGTTATTAACAAAAAGATATTTAAAAAAGGTTTAAACACAATCAAAAATCTAAACTGACACTAACTAAAAATAGTAAAAAACATAAACCGCCATTTTGAATACTGATTTATCCCCAATTGTCCCCATTACCGGTTTATCTCAAATCTGGCAAATCCGGCCGGAATTCCTGCCGGAATTTTTGTCCAAATCCGGTAAATCCGGTTCCGGCCGGATTTGAAAATTCCAAATCCGGTGCACCTCTAGTGTTCATTGTTATGAAAGGAATTACAGAAGCAAATAAAGTTGAAGGGATAATACATGCATGGTTTTAAAATATTTGTAGAGAGATAACATGACACTTTTTCACATTTTTTACAAAACATGCACTTGATCTCGGCAAGGTATATAAACACCAGCAAACTAAATTAGTTATTTGATCAATTTACCTTTGTAGGAGCGTACTCCTATATTTGTTTTTATGAAAATGCATCTGGTTGACGACATTAAACACTTCTGGTGAAGGATCAAGGCATAATGGACTCTGAGTTTTCAATAACAGTTCTGCTTCTAAATTGATCTTCTCCTCTTCACGCCATTCACCCTCACAAGTCAACGCATTCACGTCAGCTACAAGAGTCTGCAAAGACGAAATAAAACAATATTGCATTTACGTCAGCTACAAGAGTCTGCAAAGAAGGAATAAAACAATATTGCGTGTCACAAGAGTGTCCATTTCCTCTCACTAATCTGTGCACCTTCTGACCAGCTCACAACTGCTGAATTGTGGATATGATCAAATGCGCATTACATCAAGTATTAGCTTACCTAATAACTTCCTTACATATAGCCTATTGCCTACCAACAATTGTGATATGACTTTCTCAACTGTGTTGGTAGCAAACGGAGCAAACACGGACACTTTCCACATTATTCCGTATAGCGAGAATTAACAAACACAGAGATGAAACGCAGCTAGCTCTAACGACTGCGTCACCGAAGCCTCATACCAAATTTGTAATCTATTTAGGGGTTCCGTAGTCGTCAGAGCCTCTCACCACAGATTAATAATACACAGATGTGAAACTCCTATCTACTTTGGGGTCACACGAGTCTGCTTGCGTCATTTTCTCGCGCCACACATAGTGTTCTGGCAAGAGTCATTACTTACATTTTCAGGTAAAAGTGTAGGAAACGCCGTTCGAAAGGTTAAACATTCACTTTTAAAGAAATTGGCGCTCCGTATCCTCATTTTCCGACACAAATTAAATTATCGATAATAACAGTAAGTGGTCGTTTTGGTTTATTTAAAAAGTATAGTTGAGCCTTTTGGCAGCTTTTATTTTATCCTAGCAAGTTCTGGCAAGTGTTATTCTGATATTAAATCTGTTATTCTGATATTCATTTATTGCTAAGAACGTCCAGTATTCACTCCTCTTTCGTAAAATTTTGAATAAAGTAGTACATTGACCAAATAGTTTTCTTAAAATTTCCATTTTTTGTGTTCTGGTTTCGTCCCAGAGGGAAATTTAACAGGGTTACAATAAACACAGTTACGAAAGTAATATCACAACTGTTGTAAAAAATAAAATAGTCTGTTTAGGCATTATTTGTTTTAATTATGACAGGGTATGTAATCTCACGAAGCTCAAAATCCCCTATTTTTGGGGGTACTGTCTGACCTGGTGAAAGATTCTAAACAATTCAAACAACGTGAAAAGCGACTTTTAAAAGTAACTGTAAATTTACCATTATACAAACTACAATACTAAAAAGTTGTATTTCGTGGTGCGGAGACTCTCAAACGTAAGAGAGGCAATACCCCACTGGCCGTGAGAAATACTAATTAGGTAAGATGTAAAGCGCATTTGATCCACATGGAAGGTAACGCTAAGAAATGAGAAATGTTAGTTCGCTTACTGATCCTTACTAGCAACAGATATACGAACCTGGCATGTTGGACGTAATAATACATATGAAGTATCATAACTGCTTGGATTTACACAACAACGATAATCACGGACTTCGACAATCACACAACCATTGTAGAAAACATTCGCCTAATCAAGAATGACAATCAACAGTTATATAAGACTGAAAAGGATCCCTGGATAATCTTATGCTGCCCTGGTCAAATATAATCATTGGTAGGAATTAGTAAGATTAAATAACCAGGAAACTCAAGGTTAGACTAGTTACTGATCAAGAGAAAATTACCTTACAGTATTCGTTGCACTAAACGTGTTATAACCCTAAATTGCATTGCCACGAACACATCGAAGGCAAGCCAGTGGGGTTGGAGTGCAATAAACAGTAAATTCTATACCGAGGGTCATGTGTCAATTGCAAGTCCTGTTCCTTTCCCACGGGCGTGTAAGTTTTGCATGTAAGTTGTTTGTTTGTGTGTTTATAGTATTCTATATTGTGACAAATCATTAAAATTAGATTAACCAGGAATATCAAGATCCAAATAGGGTTTATTTCGAGTGTTTGTCACGTCAGCTTCCTCACGAGAGAAACAAATAAAGAATGAACGTCGAGGTTGAGTTGATATTTCACACATCCTGCCAGAGTCTGGAGACACTTACCTTGGATTTCTCCAGCAGGTCAACAAGCATGGGAGGTAGCTAGATGAATAACATCTCATATTATAAGATTTATACTATTCATGCAGTCATGTGAACGATCTCATACTATAAGATTTATACTATTCATGCAGTCTATAATAGAGAGGTTAAGATTACTCACACTTTGTCTTAGATTTCAAAAAAACTGTTTATTTGTACAAAAGTCGTACATATGAATTCTATGTACAAAAGTCGTACATATGAATTATAACGCACATTGTACACATAAAATGGGGGTATATTAATCAAATGATTTCATATTTTTACCATCCACCCTTGCGAGCCTTCATGACTGGAAACTGAACTGAGAACTCCCTTATGTATCAAATTGGTCAAATAAAACTCTGGTTTGTGCACAAGAAACCAGTACTTCACGAAGGACATAGTAAGTAAAATATTTCATATAATGCCAACCAACAATACCTGTTGAGCATCAAGGTAGTCGAGAAATTCTGTTTCCTAAAGATAAAAAAAATGGTTTGTTTAATTTCCAGTACATGCATTTTGTGGCAATTTATTTCCTAACTACGACCAAATAAAGAGCTCCTCAAACATGCTACCTGGTGTCAATATTTTGTACTGAGACTTTCTTTTTTGGCAGTGTACTTTATCCTTTGCTATTCCGAACAGCACAGGCATATCAATTAAAATAGTTAAATATTATCTTACTTCATATGGAAGTCGTATAGTTTCGGATTCTAAAAGTAACGCAAAAAATTGAATTTAAGATATCAGGAACTACAATAAACAATAACTACATAAGGAATATGGGGAAATATCAGGAACTACAATAAACATAACTACATATTAAGGAGTATGGGGAAATATCAGGAACTACAATAAACAATAACTACATAAGGAATATGGGGAAATATCAGGAACTACAATAAACATAACTACATAAGGAATATGGGGAAATATCAGGAACTACAATAAACAATAACTACATAAGGAATATGGGGAAATATCAGGATATCTCACTCGATACAACTATAATTCTTGAAGGATTTTATTGATGGAAATTTCGAGTGTAAATTTTATACATTTCTTTAGGCGTAAGAGGAGCAAAACTTGTGAAAAATGCAACTATAAGCTCTCTGGCAGGAATCTAATCTGCGGCCCTGCATGCGATTCGCAGGAATATACGCGCCGATTGTTGTCGTCCATTTTCTAAAATAGTTGTCGTCCATTTTCTCCTCCAGTAATCACTGCCGTTTTATAGAATACTTCAAGAAAAATTTCACAAAACTGAGAAATTAAATCTTAAAAACAGCGAGGTTTATGCTAGATTTAGCAAAAGCTTCGAGTAGCCTCGTTTTTGCACATTTCAAAGGGCTATAATTTGGTTTCCATGGATCTTAAACTTTCACATTTTGCCTTAATAAGCAGACGGTGTCGACAAATTGCTTGTCCGCCTCGTAATGCATAAAATGTACAATAACACTTAGTTGTGGAAGCTAGTTTTCGAATCCGTCTTTAGGGTGACGAAAATAGCCCCCTCCCCTTTCACAACACAGAAACACATGTGTTTCTTTCTTGCTAGTTTTTGGCTAAATCACTTTGAACAACCGGTTCCTGGGATTAAATCCTTGAGGATTAATTCCTTGAGGATTAAATCCTTGAAGAGATTGTTTTCTCTGATTGTCATGATTTGATTGAGGATTAATGACACTGCACGCAATTAATGTTGATTCATAAACAAGAAAATGCAATTTCCAGTTTTTGTTTTCTCTTTACCTGTTCCACTGGGGCTTTTCAACTTGAGTGAATATCCTTCATTCACTGGATGGAAATTCACAATCAATGTTGAAAGATTGTCTTGAAGAACAACTTTGTCAAGAAGGTGAACGCCATGACGAAACCGCTGAAAAAACGAATGATTGCATGAACAAGATTAATTATTGTTCTGAACGTACAACCTCTAACTGTATTTCCTGTTCTAAGAATCTACAAACCTAGTTTAACCTACAATCCTGGACAAAATATCTGCGATACTTCTAATTTTCGTAATATTATTGCAATGAAAAACCTTCCTGTTATCGCCCAACATTCAATGTTGATTGAATTCCCAGAATACGGTTAAAGCAACTGTCCAACATTGTTTGGGGGACCGGGGGGTGAGTAAACGAATGTTTCAACAGAGTGTCGGAGATGGTTTTTGACCAGGATTGCAAATTACGTCGAGCAAGCGTATCCTTTACCGTATCAATTATTATGAGCTAATTTTTGAATTCATGTGTTAAACTGACTGATTTAGGATGTCACATGCCGCACTGATGGACACAACTGTAGATATATCTCGCCATAAATTGTTTGTTTTGTGAGTGGCTGTAGTGTCATTGAAAAAAATCTCACCGGAATACGGGGACTAAACCCAACTTCCAAAACGTCAACGTCGTAGGCTGGGTTGTATTAAACCTTGGTATCCTTGCTTTTGAATGAGTAGCTATTCGGTAGCGAACAATTAATTTCTAACATGTTAGCTATAAACAACAATACCTTGTCACTTGGGGCTCCTTCAACTGAATCAACAAAACAATCTAACAATCGTTCCAACAAGCTTTGCCTGAAATATAAATAGTATATCAGCAAAACTAGCACTGTAATTTTCATGATCTTACTTTACGTCGCATTTTCATTTCAAGTTCTACTTCATTACTGGCCTTTCACTCTATTAATATACTACTCGTGTATGAATCTGAAATTTCTCAGGTTGCTAGAATTTTACCATATGCCTACGTATTGTATTTGAGAAAAAAAAATCACGCATGTGTAACGTCTACCAAACTGTGCACCCCAGAACACCTGATCACAGGTTACAAACTGTGTGCACCCGAGAACACCTGATCGCAGATTACAAACAGTGGACAGCTACTTACGACGTCAATAAACGCCAGACGGGAAAAAAGTGTTTAATGTTCCTTGGATCATAAATTTTCATTTTTCAATTGTTCCTCCAGATTGCGCAAAAAACAATAATTTTTGACCGTACGTCATGTATGCAAGAACGAAGTATCCTTGACGGTATTTATGTTCTCCCATAACGTAACTGAAAATGATCCTCAATCATCTTGCAAAGGTTTGTCAGGATCCCAAGACCACACTTTTTCCCATGCAGGTCTGATAAATGCATACGGGTATCGAAGGGAAGATGGCTGTGAAACTCATTAGAATAACAATATAACTCATTATCTATGTTAGTCAACGTTTATTCGTAAATCTTCACCGTCATGTGTGTATAATTGTATTTTTGCCAAATCCACCAATAGCAATGTCCAATTTACCCTATTGTTCGAGTCACGGATAGGTAACTTAACATAAAACATTGCTATTGGTTAGTTCGGCAAAAATACAATACACACGTGACGGTGAAGGACCAGATTTATGAATAAACGTTGACCAACATAGATAATGAGTTATATTGTTATTCTAATAAGTTGCACAGCCATCTTCCCTTCGATAGGCTATAGATAATGCATACGGGTATCGAAATAAAGATAATCATACAGTATCGTTCTCAGAAAAAATGTTCCATATGACGATTGCAAGAACGTCAGACGCCGGTGGGGATGTCCCATTTTCATCAACAATATAATAATAGTTTACTGTAATTTACACCTGTTGACCTGCTCCCCCAGCTCACTGAAATGGATTATTGCCCTTGGCAGTTTTTTGAATTCTGTGCATATAAAGTTTCATTCATTCATTCCTTGGATGATTCAAAAGTATAATTACAAGAAAAGTTTCGATATTATCATCAGGGCCGCCGAGAGGTTGGCGGGGGCCCGGGGCAAAATTTTTTTGGGGGCCCCCTATCTAAAATTTTTTTCCGGAAAAATTTTTTTTTAGGATGACAACCCCCCCCCCCCGTCGCCAAAAAATTTTCGGTCAGTGTACCATTTTAGGGGTAAAAATTTTTCCGGACGAGTACGTTACAATTGCTTTCCAGGGACTTTACCTCATTTTTCATGCCAAATTTTGGTACTTAACCGAAGAAAACAGATATCTTGTCCTTCGCGCGGAAATATTTAACACACAAAAAACACTGGGGCCCAACAAAAATTTTTCAGGGCCCCCCCAGCACCTCGGGGCCCCCAGCACCTCGGGGCCCGGGACAACTTGCCCCCCTAGCCCCCCCCCCTCTCTGCGGCCCTGATTATCATGCATGCTTGACCCACGAGTCTCGCTCATGAGAATCGTAACCTACATGTGTTTTTCTTTGAGAAACTAAAGTTTTGATGAAGTACATCCAATTGAGATTTTTTTAAAGGGGAGAATTTTTTGTATGTTAGGTATACATAACACGCGCTCAGAACTAATGAGTATAATATCACTTTATGAGTGTATTTCAAATTTTTGATTTTTTATACGTTTCTATATTTTTTATACGTTATAATATATGGTACGCCAAAGAGAATACTACAATCGTGAGACATAACTTGTTAATAACATTTTAATGTGCCTCGCCCTTTCCTCCAAGACAATGTTGTTGAATTAAGTTTAAAGTGTGGGGAAAATAATAGCAACAGTTGAATGTTTTCCTAAAATTTTGATTTATTTTATTTAACAGTTTTGACCAAGATTGTAGGTTTGAAGTTCAATATGTTTTGCTTATATTGCTGTAAGTATGATATAAATTTTATAGCATCACTAATAGTTGTATATATTAATTAACATTGTTTAGTAGTTTTTATGTTTCTCAACAGGTAGCTAATTGTATGAACTAGAAAAACAAAGTAATTTTAGGAGGTACACAAAAAATATTTCAGTTTTGAACGCTTTTCATCGCAAATACGAGACATAGAAAAACATTTTCTGTTCAAAAAACAAAGAAAATGAATGAAATCATATTAAGATTGTTGTCACTTTTTGCTTTTTATGATGCTATGCTTCCAAGAGTGCTTTCTAAGATTATCTAAAAGATATATCAGAATTCCAAGGGTTAAGTGTTTCCGATTCTTTAAGAAGCTGCTGACAGTCAAAGACAAGGTTAACATATTCAATATATTTCACCTTGACTCGAGCTCGATGTAAAAACATTCCACGATGAATAGCACTTTAGAACGTCTCTTATCATTAATTATTTTCATTTCAGAGTTTAATATTTAAACAAATAACATATTGTTTGTACTATTGATAATCCGGACTAACACAGCGAAAGCTTTCTCAAATAAATGGTATATGTTCCAAAACCACAGACGAATTAAAACAGTTTGTGTCTTTCATCTATATATATATATGTCTTTCATATAGATAGATATATTTATGTAATTAAGATAAATTAAAGTTTTTCATAGTTTTTTAATCATATTTATATATAAATATAACTTCATTGGTAAATAAAATAGCGAGTTTCAAAGGCAAACAGCGTATTTTGATTTTTGAAATTTGACCGGCATTTTCCGGGTGCAAAGTGCTTTGAGACAGCCTTGACATTATCTTTTAACAATGTCGCATATGTCTGACCCGGCGGCTGGCACATCAAACACGCAGTCGTTAAAGTGCCAATGCGACAATTTTTTTTATGATTGAATTGCAAAGTTAATTTAAAATCATAGTATAACTTGTTTTCTAAAACTTTGTAATCTTTCCTGTATGTCAATATTTTCGACTTTGTTTGATATACAAATGTGACTTAAATGACGTCACACTTCATAATGCGTTTTACAGAAGACTGTGTTGTAGCTTGTTAAAATTCTCATTGTCTCAAATTTACAGACGAAATGATCGCTTTGATAGCTCTTAAAGTATGTCACTTTCAATGTCAGTGGAATTATCACATGTTTGGCAAGGAAATGTTTTCTTTCTAAAAACTCATTATGAAGTGTGACATCATTTAAGTCACATTTGTATATCAAACAAAATCGATAATCTTGACATACAGGAAAGAATACAAAGTTTTAGAATACAAGTTATACTATGATTTTAAATGAACTTTGCAGTTCAATCATAAAAAAAATGACGCATAGGCACTTTAAATAAAAAAAATACTGGATTGTAAAATCAAGAAAATACTGGATAGTTGGCACTAAGGTCTAAGAAGACTAGTAAAGACTGAGAAAGCGTCAACGTTTCTGAAATTCATTCTAGGTATGTTCCGTATACTTATGCTGAATTGGCCATATTTTAATTTTGGGATAGGTAATAGGACCTCTACATCTCGGACCTCTCGTTTGTCGCTTTATACTTAGGCTCTCTTTACACGAGCCCGGGACAGTGGCGGGGCCAGGCCTCCGAATTTGGGGGGCATTTGAGGGGCAAACGCATATTTTTGGGGGGCAAGATAGAATTTTTAATAAGTTCGCCCCCCCCCCCCCAGGTGGTTCTCCCCCTTTAAAAGGGGGGCGAATATCCTAGGAATATCGCCTCCCAGGGGGGTGGGGCGAATACCCTAGGAATATCGCCCCTCTTTAGGATATTCGCCCCCCATATATGCGATGTGGTTTATTCAAATAATTTCGTGATACTTTCATCTTATTAGTGCCTTACACGTGCCTTACACGTTTGAGAATTTAACTCTGCAAAACTAAAGCTTTTTTGTCTTTTTTGAAACGTATTATTGGAGTATTGGCAAGTTTTACCATTCATAGATTTACAAACTAATATTGAAAGTGTAAAAAACAGTTTCATGCATACGCGCATTCACTAATGAGTAATGACAACTTATAAGCCATACATTTTCCGATAACGACAAAACGCTTGTGTAGCCTTTAGTCGCTTTTAGTGACTAATATTTTTTTTTTGAGGGGGGGGGCAAAAAATAATTTGGGGGGGGGGGGGCGGGGG